TTTTTTCTTCGTATCGATGTAACGATCGAGAAGAGTAAGAATCTTTTTTTTTTTAAATACCCTTTCGAACTGTACGAGATAATTTTGTTTCGTTTTTTTTTTTTTTTTTTTTTTATGAAACGAAAGATCCGCAATTTCTCGGTTAACGAGGGCGGAACCACGGGAGTGTGGAGGTATACGTAATATGCATATACGTAACCGCAGCTCGATTATCAAGAAGGCTGCATAGATGCAGCCTCCCTTGCAACGTGTGCAACCTCGTTCCCGGATATACGCATACGGATTTCGTGTGCAACATGCAAAACGGGCTTAAGTCACGCATATTTATCTTTGACCCGGCTGAGCAAACGCAAATATGGCGCGTCATCAAGAAGAGAAGGGATAGAATTATGGAAGTTCGCCTGTACATCCTAAAAGATACTTCTGTATTCAAATAATTCTTCAACAACTGCGCCCGACCAACTTGCAACAATAATTTTCAGATTCATTGGAAACTTTTACCGTACCCGTATTCGAAATTTATGTGTAAACTTCCAATGATTCCAAGATTCACGATTGTAGAGAGAGAGAGACACGCTTATCATTTTATCATTTTATCGAAGTGTTTTTGTTTTATCATTTTATCGAAGTCATTTTATCATTTTATCGCACACGATTTTATTTAATACAAAAGACAAATATTCTCCCTGATCACGTGCATCGAGAAAATGTTAAGCTCTAACGAGGAAATCGCATATTTCCGAAGAAATTGGAACCGGGTAAAACCGCGAAGCCGAATCAGAAGAATGGAAAAAAAAAAAAAAAAACGGTGAAATTTGAAGGTTGGAGGGCTGCGGTCCGGGCAAAGTTTCGCATCGGTGGTGGGTGCATGTGCGTGTGTTTGTTCGACTGGTGAATGTCCTCCGCTCCTGGGCTTTGGCTGGGACTTCCTGGTGAACCCTTCCTTCCCTCGCCCCTCTCTGTCCCCTCCCTCCCCCTTCGAGTTGTTCGCAGCCGAGCTCCGTGCAACGGTGGAGGGAGAGAAACGAGGAGAAAGAGAGAGCGGAGTGGAAGTGTAGAAGAGAGAGAGTGAATGACTAGGAGAACGCGAGAGATCGATATTCGAAACCCCTGTGCCGTTGGGCACCGAGCTCCTCTCGCCACCCCACGCCCAATGGCGTAGCAAGGGGGGGGCAATTGGACTACGTACTACTGCCTGTTCCCAGGATACTCGACAAACGGAAGTTTGGGACAAAGAGGAGGAGCGTTATAAATTGGCCGAGACGGGATTACGCGATGCTGCCCTCTCCCCCTTTTCTGTCTTCCTATTTTTTTTTTTTTTTTTTTTTTTTATATCAATTGTCAATTTTCGAATCGAAGCCCGAGATAATATTTTAATCCTCAATTTTCTTATTCCCGATTCATCGATTTTGGTACGTTTAGAATTACGATACGAGTATTATTTCTCGTTATTCTCTTATTCACTGTTTGGATATTTCGATTCTTCGGATCGAACAATTGTTAAGATTAAATTTAAGATTCTAATTCGAAAAATTTTCCCCCTCCTGGCATTCAATTGGGGGAAACGATAGAATAGATTTTCGCAGTCTACGCTATTGCCCTCGCCTGTCCTCGTATGCATGCTATTTACCATTAGATTATCATCCCCTCATTTTTTTTCGTCTCTCCCCTACCTCGCCGCATTCGTGCTTTCTTTCGACCCCTTCTGGGGCAGCTCTTTTCTCAGCACGACTTTTTTTTTCATCCACGTATCTTGTATCTCTCGCGTTGCGAATGTAACGGGCGAAATGCGACGAGCAAACCAATTATTTCGTTCGTAATTCCATGTCCGAGTCATTAGCGAACGCTCTTCGCAGGGGTGTTCATTAACATTGACTAGCGCGTCGTTCGAGTGAAAATGATATTCGCGTTGGGTTGCATACCACGTCCCTTATCGATTGATACTTTCCTCGTTTGGACTTGATCCTAGATAAGATAAACGTCGATCAAGTGCACATTATAATTTGACTCGTTTGTTTCGAAAAGGGAGACGCGTTTATAAATTATGCATTTAGTATTGTTTTCCTTTTAAGTTTTTTCTTTTATTATATTATAGTATCTTTTATTAAGTTGAGATTGAAAGGCAAAAGTGTTATAATAGAAAACGTTTTTATTATTTGATTTTTATTTCTTCGTTAAAGTTTCATTATCGGTGCATCTATTGTACGATTAACCGATACCTGAGGCACGTGGATCCATTTATGCAGCACGTGTCTTCTCAAGATTCCACCGGGGGTAGCGTTACAATATCCCGTGATGAATGCAGTAGCTCCTCCAGGTAGCTAGGGTTCCTACAAAAAAAAAAAAAGGGGGGAGGGATTCATTTCGAGGCCTCTAATATCTTGTGTCTACAACGAAAAAGAGGTAAGAAAAAAAGAGGAGGCAAAGGACGGGAATAAACAGAAGTCGAGAAGTTAAAACGATTATTATTATTCAACGAGGGAAGGGAAGGAGAAAAAAAGTGAATTGTCGGATTTTGAATATCGAAACTCGGTTCGAGTTTAACTTTCTGGAAAATTTGTTGAATATCCGTGCACGTTAAAAGAGGGGAGGGAGGATGGTTAAAAGAGGGGAATGTGGATGAACTATGTGGTAAAGGGACGGCGAAATTTGGCCGCATTCGCACGGTCGAAAAGCTCTCTCGCACAAGAGGGAGGTCAACCCCTGGGACGACGGTTTCCATTTTCAACGTGGCGCCTGCGTTCTCGAGCTCTGCACGGGCTCTACCAACCCTCTCTCCTGCACTCGTTTCTCCTTTTCAAGCCTCCACTCCACTTCTTTCTTTCTTTCTCTCTCTTGTTCGTGGACCCTGAATATCCACCCCTTCTTCTCTGTCCCTCGAGTGCAGCGCTTGCGCACGTGCCCTCCCCCGCACGTCTAGCCATTTTTTCTTTTCCCCCTCGAATTCAACCCCTGTCTCTCGAACCGCGACAGCGAGACGAAACTTCTCCCACGAAATATTCAGATATATTTTTACAGACAGAAATTTATCATTTCTTCAACTGTATCTAAATAGAAACATGTTAATGTTTTTCTTTTCTTTTCTTTTCTTTTCTTTTTTTGTTTTATTATCTTTCATTTTTTTTCTCCCATTTTTTAGTAGGTTTTTGTACGAACGTTGTTGAAACAACGACGCTTGAACTTCTTTCTGCGAAAGAATCTTGTCTGCGAGAGAATCATCACGCTTCACTCGAGTTCGCAATTAGTACCTTTTTTTCGTATCATCTAGCTTGCTTTTTCTTGATCTCAATCTTTTACCCTTTTTCTGCCATCTGTATGGAAATTATCCTATTATTTTAGGCTAAATAGTCCTTTTTTTTTCTTTTTCCTTTCAAAATTTTCGTTTCACTTGCTTGATTGTTCAATCAACAGCTGTCCATTAACTGGTTTTCAATCTTCTTATTCCTCTCTTTCTTTCTCCCTTGCATATATACCATTTGAGAGTTTTCTTTCAATCAGTATCGATGGTTGCAAGGTCCAGAGGATCTCCGGAGGGAGCAGCCATTGTTCACGACCCTTCCGCAGCGCCTGCGTGCCTCGCAACTACCCTCGATTTCGTTTTTCCTCTCTTTTTCTACTTCTTTGTCTTTATAGCCTTCGTAACTGATCGTAATAATCCAGAGATTTCAAAGAGTAATCTTCTCATTTTTATTTCTATCCGACATATACTCTTCTATCTACCAACTAGCTCTTCAATCTACCTTCTAGCTCTTCTTTTCGTCGAAACAAATTTTTCGATATATTTGTTCAAATTATCAAACCTTGAAAATTGTGTCTTTACATTTCACAACATTAATATATTTAATTATTTCTCATAAAAAGTATGCGCATTTTGTCGCAGAATATCATTCGACGAAATAATAAATCCACATCCGTGGTTACATCCCTGCGACTTTTCACACTTAACGAGTTAACGTCACGACGATTTCGAAGCAAGGGATTACTTGCTCCTCCGTTATTCGACGCCTGCGTAGATTCCGCCCCTCGCCTCGCGCATTTTTCTCCGCCTCTCCCTCGCCACTCTTCGTGCCCCGGTTTTCCATCTCCCGAATCGCGTCGACGAACACTCGGCCAGGGTGTCTAGAGAAGATACAGTTTCTCGTTTGATTCCCTCCAACATTTTCATTCCACTCTTTCTTCCTTCGACTTCCGTCCCCCTTGTTATTTATATTTTTACCTTTCTTCTACCTTTTCTCTTTCTTTCTCTTTTTTTATTTTTCTCTTTTTTTTTTCTCTTAACCTTTTTTTTTCTCCTGCTTCAGCACCACTTCTCAGCACCGGCGTGTATACGCCGCCATCGCAACCCCTCCATCGAAAGGTGGCGTGCCACGAGATAGCTCGGTGGTAGTGATCCAGGGAGAGGGTGCAGTCATTGCCTCTTTTCGGCGCCTGCGTACATTCCGCCACGCTCGTCGATCCTACTCTGTTCAACGGGTTTTCCTTGATCGTTTCTTTCGACCTCTATCCTCCTCGCAGCTCCCACCCCTCTAGCCTAGGCAGAACTAGTAGCGTCGGGGGCGGTGGTGGTAGCGGGCAGCAGAGGGTGCAGCGATTGGCGGCAGGGCCTGGCTCCGTCAGTTTAGTTACCGCACCACATAAAGGCATTGCGTTGTAGACACCGTTATACCCGCAACATTCTTACTATTTGCTTGTATATCTTCATTTCTGACCCTTTAATTCGACAAATACGTTCGTATCGTTGGTACATGTATAGAATCGTCCTCACCGATTAATCATTCTTGCTTTATCCCGCCCACGTGTCAACGAAAAATACTTTAATCGAGAAAAAAAAGAAAACGTCGTGTGTGTCCACGCACAACACATCTTCCGATCCGGGTTTTAATACACGAGAAAAAAAAAAAAACGAAAAAAA